GGACTGTGCCTCGCTAATATGTGCCACAAGTCATGTAAAAAAAAAAAAAAAAAAAAAAAAAAAGTGTTACCGTTGACCTAAAAGAGGTAGTAAATAGCGTGTTGGAGTCCTGAGATGCCTGCGGTCTGGGCCAAAGCCACCCGCTGCCTGTAGTCTGCAGAAGCAAGTTACATGAAAGTGAAATCCTTCATTCTAAGCTAACTGATTATAAAGTCAGGCGCCTGGCGTGCCATCCTGTATGATGTCCAGCAGTGCCCCAGCCCCTGTGCCATGTCCCTGCCTGCCTGCACTGGCCATTGCAGTGCTGTGCTGTCCAGATGTCGAGTTGGCTCACCTCCTTCATCCCTGGCTTGCTGTTCCTGTGGCAGTGCAGGAGGATCCTGTGTTTTAAGCAGCTGCATAGCTCTCAGGATTTGCTGCTGCTTGTTGAGAGCTGATGTGCTCTAATGAGGTAGAGGACTCTGAGCTGTAGTTTGCCAGCTTCTAGTCCCTCTGGCTCAGCCTGGCTGCCGGGTGCAGCAGGGTGAAGCTGAACATTAATAGAGAAAATGTATGTTCTGCTGCACTGCTGGAGCAAAGGGCTTGTGCAGGGTGTGATTGGGTGAGGAAAGGAGGAGACAGCAGGGATGGGAGAGGAAGGAGCAGGAAGAGGGCAGTTGTTGGATCAGCTCTGCTGTATGGTGTAACCTCACCCTCAGCTTTGTAGCCATCCCCATGACTTAAACTCCCCTTTTGCCCTCAGAGAAAATGAACCACTGGTGCTTAATAGTTGCCAGAGAGCTGGTGCCTTCAGGTGAAGGACCTTTGCAGGACTTGATGACTTCCTATGGCTCGTAAAGGTCCAGTGCACCCTGCAGAGCTTGTCCTTGCCACCACACGGAGGAGACACAAGCCACCCTGCTCTGGCCAGAATGTCCCTGCCCCAGTTGTCATCCTTCAGATTTTTTTCTTTAACCCTTTAAATTAAGCGTTACTGCTGCTAGAACCTAACGCTGTACTTTTAAAAGCACTTCCTTCTTTTTTTGTTTGGTAGATCTCCGAAGCTGGGAAGGACTCCTTGCCTTCTTGGTTACACTGGAACGCAGAGAGCAGCTCCCTGGAAGGGCTGCCCCTTGACACGGACAAGGGCGTCCACTACATCTCGGTGACCACGCTGCAGCCCTTCCCAAACGGGAGCTATGTGCCACAGACTGCAAATGTCTTCTCTGTTGAGGTCCACCAAGAAGACCACAACGAGCCTCAGTCAGTGCGAGTGGCCGTCCAAGACACGGGTGACACAGCACCATTCGTGTGTGGCTCGGAAGAGCCTGTCACTATCCTGACTGTCATTTTGGATGCCGACTTAACAAAAATGACACCAAAGCAGAGGATTGAACTCTTAAACAGAATGAGAAGCTTCTCGGAGGTGGAACTTCATAACATGAAGTTGGTTCCTGTTGTAAATAACAGACTCTTTGACATGTCAGCCTTCATGGCTGGACCGGGAAATGCAAAGAAGGTGGTGGAAAATGGGGCCTTACTCTCATGGAAACTGGGATGTTCTCTGAGCCAAAACAGTGTCCCCAACATCAGCAAGGTGGAGGCTCCAGCTAAGGAAGGAACCATGTCTGCCCGCCTTGGCTACCCTGTTGTTGGTTGGCACATTGCGAACAAGAAACCTCACCTTCCAAAGAGGATGCGGCGGCAGATCAACGCCACTCCTACGCCTTTGACTGCCATCGGGCCGCCCACCACTGCCGCGCAAGAGCCACCGACCAGGATCGTCCCCACCCCAACGTCACCCGCCATTGCGCCTCCCACGGAGACGACAGCACCCCCCGTCCGGGAGCCCATACCACTGCCAAGGAAGCCTACAGTCACCATCAGAACAAGAGGGCCCATCGTCCAGACGCCCACTCTGGGACCGATCCAGCCAACCAGGGTAGCAGAAGGCACCGGCACGGCCTCCGTGCCAATTCGCCCCACGATGCCCGGGTATGTAGAGCCCACAGCAGTGATCACGCCGCCCACAACCACCACCAAGAGGCCAAGAGTCTCCACTCTGAAGCCAGCAACACCATCCACGACAGATTCCTCCACAGCCACGACACGAAGGCCTACTCGAAGACCCAAAACTCCCCGTCCGACAAAGCCTCCCAGCACGACCAGATCCCCCATCTCCAAGCTGACAACAGCCTCCCCACCGACCCGTGTACGCACCACAGCTAGCGGGATCCCCCGGCCCTGGGAGCCAAATGAGCCACCCAAGCTGACGAACCACATTGACAGGGTTGATGCGTGGGAGGGCACCTACTTCGAGGTGAAAATACCGTCAGATACCTTCTACGACAAGGAAGATACCACCACTGACAAATTGCAGCTGACCTTAAAGCTGAAGGAGCAGCAGATGATAGAGGAGAATTCGTGGGTGCAGTTCAACAGCACCAGCCAGCTCATGTATGGCATGCCGGACCACAACCACATCGGGAAGCACGAGTACTTCATGTACGCGACCGACAAGGGTGGGCTCTTCGCTGTGGATGCTTTTGAAATCCACGTCCACAAACGCCCTCATGGGGACAAGTCTCCGGTGAAGTTCAAGGCCAGGCTGGAAGGGGACCACAATGCAGTGGTGAATGACATCAATAAGAAGATCATGCTGGTGAAGAAGCTGGCTCTGGCCTTCGGTGACAGGAACAGCAGCACCATCACAGTGCAGGACATCGCCAAAGGCTCCATCGTAGTGGAGTGGACGAACAACACGCTGCCTCTGGAGCCCTGCCCCCGGGAGCAGATCCGGACTTTGAGCAAAAAAATTGCAGATGACTCTGGCGGGCCGAGCCCAGCTTTCTCCAATGTCTTGCAGCCCGAGTTCAAGCCTCTGAATGTGTCAGTGGTCGGCTCTGGCAGCTGCAGGCACATCCAGTTCATCCCCGTGATGAAGGATGGAAGGGTGATCTCGGAGGCGACGCCAACAGTGGTGGCAGGCAAAGACCCCGAGAAGAGCAGCGAGGACGACGTGTACCTGCACACCGTCATCCCTGCTGTGGTGGTGGCCGCCATCCTCCTCGTGGCTGGCATCATCGCCATGATCTGCTACCGCAAGAAGAGGAAAGGGAAGCTGACCATTGAAGACCAGGCCACCTTCATAAAGAAGGGCGTGCCCATCATTTTCGCCGATGAGCTGGATGACTCCAAGCCTCCGCCATCCTCCAGCATGCCCCTCATCCTCCAGGAGGAGAAAGCCCCGCTGCCCCCCCCGGAGTACCCCAACCAGAGCATGCCGGAGACCACGCCGCTCAACCAGGACACCATTGGGGAGTACACACCGCTGCGGGATGAGGACCCCAACGCGCCGCCCTACCAGCCTCCCCCCCCCTTCACCGCACCCATGGAGGGGAAAGGCTCCCGCCCGAAGAACATGACCCCATACAGGTCCCCACCGCCCTACGTCCCCCCTTAACGAATGGGAGGCTCTCGGGGGAGAAGGGGCTTCCAGCTCCACGCCCGTGCTGTCTGTGGGCCGGCAGCCCCTCGCCAGCCGGGAACCCAAAACCCCAGCCCGCTCCCCAGCAGGCCCTCCCCGGCTGCGCCCGTCGCACCGGAGTGCTCGCGGGACTCGGGGGGACACTTGTTTTATTTTTGCCTAACAAGCTTTGGTTTTATTTTATTCATAGAAAAAATTCTCGGCTCAAACACGCCTTCCCGGCGACTGGGCTTCTGGCCAGAGCCGGGGTGGCGGGCAGGGAGGGGGGACGGGACGGGTCGGGTCGGG